AAAAAAAAAAAAAAAAAAAAAAAAAAAAAAAAAAAAAAAAAAAAAAAAAAAAAAAAAAAAAAAAAAAAAAAAAAAACTCAAAAAATAGATATAAGTTCTAAAAGTATACTTTTTTTATTAAGATTTGAGTTGTTTTAAATGATCCGAATTTTTTTTCTTTTCTCAATGTAATAGACATGTGGAAGTAATGTATACATGTGTATCTACAATATATAAAAATAACGGATGTAAAAATTTCCTTTTTAGGGGTTTAGAAGGAAATTTTTCATGTCGATCCCTGCACGATAGCAACACAACACGCCGAAATTAGAGACAACAAATATAATCATGCCAAAATTAAAAGGGTTAATTAATCAATGACGATCTTTTATTTTAACCAATCAAATTAAACTTGACCTATACCATAAACTGTATTAAGAATTAAATAAATAAATAAATAGAATCATGCACATTTGCCAAAAAATAGCTACGTAGTTAAAAGTTTCTAAAAGAGCATGTTATAAAATTTTTGGAAATAAATAATTATAAAAACGGCTAAAAGTTTGATTGGTCCCTATTTATTTTTCCATTAGTCAAGTTTTATTAGTTCCACGGGAAACGGCCGTAGATCGATTACTACAACATTTGGAGGTGGAGGCGGGGGAGGTGGAGCAGTGGTAAGTGGAGGAGGAGGAGGTAGAGTAGTAGTAGGTGGAGGAGGAGGTAGAGTAGTGGTAGGTGGAGGAGGAGGAGTTAGAGTAGTGGTAGGCTGAATTTGAGCTTTAGATTGAGGTAGTGGTGGTGGTGGGATTGGCGGGGCAATTATACCACCGCCATCATCACCGTTATTATCGTGATGATGGTGATGATGGCCACCAAAGAGACCACCAAGGCCACCAAAGAGACCACCAAAGCCAGCACTAATGAAACCAGCAATACCACCACCAATAGAACCATAAAAGTCTTTCAAACCATTAAAACCTTTCCCAAGCGTTTTAAAAAAGCGACTAAAACGATTTCCTCTTCCTCCCTTTTTTCCATCTCCTCCTCCCTTATCTCCTTCGCTTTTTGGATTTTTTGGTTTTTTTGGTTTTTTTGGGTTTTTGGTTGGTTTCGGATTCCGTTTTTCTGTTGGCTTCTGTTTTTCTGTTGGCTTCTGTTTTTCTGTTTGTTGTTTTGTAATTGCTGCCTTTGTATTCGTTTTATACTCCGTTTTGGCTGTTCTAGCAGTTTTAGCAGTTTCGCCCGTTTTAGCAGTTTCGGCAGTTTTTGCTGTTTTAGCAGTTTCGGCAGTTTTTGCCGTTTTAGCAGTTTCGGCAGTTTTAGCCGTTTTGGTCGTTTTTGTCATTGTGACAGTTTTAGTCATTTTAGTCGCTGTAGACATTGTAGATGGAATTATAGGTGGGCAAGTATTCTTTCTATCAGCAAATTTTATAAGTTTATTTTTTAGATCAATCACAAAGTAAAAATACTTTAGAAAGAAAAATAAATAACTGTTAATATACACTGTATCCCAGAAATTTTCAAGTAAATTGCTATTTTAATTTCTTTAATAGTCTAAACTTTTTTTAACAAATATATATATCTACCTGAAGAAACGGTCTTCCAAGTATAATTTCGCCTTTAGGTCCATGTTTATCATCAAAAATAGATATACAACCTTTTCCTTTTCCTGCTCGAGTATTATTATCACAGATTGCATCCTCTGGCAATGTATACGACACTATTTGTTCATCATTCAATGTTACATCGAATGATACTACAGTGATATTTCGCACTCTAAATCCATCAGATGATTTTTTAGCCTTTAATAACTTAAAGAATTCACGCGAAGCCTTTCCAAGAGAAATCTTGTCACTTCTAGTGTCAAAGATTGAATCCAATGTAGTTGTATTAATAGGGATTCCTCCAACATATAATACATTAATTTTCATTGAATAGGTCTGTTCTGAAACATTTAATGATACATTATACAATTCTCCTAAAAAAAAATTTTTAGAATTATAATAACTCAGATAAATATTTAATTTCTAATAACAGTAATAATTACTATCACAAACCCTTAATAAATCTATTATCTAATCCTCCAAGTGCAATTGAGCCAACATCACATTTCCTTAGGGGAAGTGCGATTCCAACTACTTGATCTAACCTAGAACTTTTTAATTGATTCCATATCTAAATATTTTATAAATGTTAGAAAATCTTTTATTTAATACTATTTCACTAATATTAAAATATCATAAATTATGATAAACCTAATTACCTGAGATTTAAGTCCAAATCCCATAACACCTTCAACAGCAGCTTGCGTCCGAAGCAAACCACTTATCTGGTTGGCTAAGATAATGTTTGTATTCTTGAATTTAGTGTTAGAGTTGCTAAATGTAATAAGGTCAGTACCAGATTTTCCAGAAACTTTAGATCCGTCCAAATATTTGATTGGGCCATTTTTCTTGAAAGAACTTCTAAAAGTTCTTGAATTTTTCGAATTAAAGACATTTTTACGATTATTACAGCCTGATCTTTTGCAAAGCTGACTGGCTACAACAAAGTCAGCAGAAATTGTATCAGGAGCTACATTAATGAACTGTGGGTTTTCTGCTTTTCCATTTCCCTTTCCCTTTCCTTTTGCCTTTTCCTTTGCCATTCCAGTTCCAATTTCAACTTGAAATAATGAAACAAAATTGCTTTTAGAAGCACCTTTAGGAGCAGTATTTGATTGTTTAGTTTTAATTAAATCAACTATTATAGGACCACCAAAGGGACGTTTTTGTCGTGGTTCAATTTTGTTTCCCACATCCTGAAAACTATATTTAATAGAATTTGAATCGTATCCTTTTATATTGTTTTTCACATACTGATTAATCGACTTTGGATTTTTAATTAAATTACTGGTTTCTTTACTATTTTCGTTATAGAAAGAATACCACCAAATAATTATAATGATGATAATAAGATATAAAATAAAAGGTTGTCGAACAAAAAATTTATGAAAAGAGAGGATATCCATTAAGATATATAGTAATTAATGAGTAATTCGTGAGGAATCAAAAAAAAAAAAAGTCGAGCAAGCCATTATTTCTCGACTTAATATATATTAATTTTTTTCAATCTGCGATTGCTTGTAATCTAAATGAGAATGATACTAAAAAGTTCTACTTCATGATACTTACCCGAAGCATTCTCCAATTTAAATACGTAAATAATTAACTTGTAATTCAATAAATGAATCATTTAAGGGATAGTACAGCATAGAATGTACGTACGTATTTGCATAAGGTATAATAACCATGAGTTTACAAGATCTGACATTGAATAATAACTTGCAAACACTGCAAAAAAAGTTTATGCTTTAAAATTTTACATTTTAATTCATACTAACGACTTTTTTAGTAAAGCCAATACCGTATAGCGCTGCCCCTAGAATTATACCCTTTTTTATCAAGTGATTTGCGGCCCAATTTTCATAATTATTAGTGTGGTCTGTTCATTGGGTTTGCTATTCTAAAAGTAAGGCATATATCGATCAGTAACAATTGTACTATCCTCCCATCTCCCAATATTTGGGGGTATTATTCAATCTAGACCGGCTTTCTTGAATAGTAACCGGAGTACTATATGCAGCGCTATACGGTAGTTAAAATTTCATAAGTTAAATCAGACAAACTAGAAGGTAAATGTAATACAAAGCACATTGGTAGAATATTAATCGACTTTTTTGATCTAAAGATTTCATTAATTAGAATCCATAATTTCTCTCCTCTGTTGCCCCTTGAATATTATAAAAATAAAAGTTTAATTATTTTATATTAGAGGTTTACTGTAAATTTTGATCTTTGTTATTTTTTTAATTTGCTGTGGGTATAATAAAAAAATAAAAATGTGAAATACAATAAGAAATACAAATAATGAATGCAAGCAAAAAAAACGAATCAAATTTTATAATTAGAGCAAGTTAGATTCGAATTATCGAAAGGGTATTTGATTTGTGGTAGTGCTGGATTTGCTCATACTTTTCCATTTCATTACGGCACATTTTTACGCTACCCTAAATTTATGACGCAGCATATAACGCATATATTTAGTGAGTTAAATTATTTGTCCATAATTAGGCTTGATAATTTGCCAACGTGTGTATATTTTAAATAAATTTTATAGCGATAGGAGATGGGTTTTAAGGCGGGGAGATGGGTATGACGAGATTTGGGGTTCATTTTAGTATATGCGTCATATGGTTGAAACGTAATCATTTGGAATCTTTGCTAGGAAAATCCCGATCGGGTTAATTCGGACAAATTCAACCCAATATACCGGTACTTATTTTGCATGTATATAATTTTGCCTTTATTGATTTAAATGTTCATTCAATAAGTGAATCAATAAGGGCAAAAAATGATTTACATGTAAATAAGTACCGGTATGCTGGTTTAAAATGTCCGAATTTGCCCGATCGGAAAATGTCGGAGGGTGGTTTCCTAGCAAAGATCCCATTTAGTAATCACATAGTAGTTAGGGGTTTTTAATTTAGGCCCAATTCCAAAAAGTCGCAGCAATGTTTTTTTTTTTGCAAAAATAATCACAACCACAGATTTCAGTGAACCGATTATTGATTAAAGTTCTACAGGGTTAACATAATTACAAGAGTAGGAGCCCAGATCTCGGCAAAATTTCTAAATGTACAGCTCTAAGGTCTTCTCTTCTCTCCAGCCCAATTATGTTTAAAGGGATATTCGCAAATAGCATATTGTGGAGGTGTGACCTTTAAAAATGCCTTGTTAAATGTCTTGATAAACCCCGTTTAAATAACTTTTCAATATTTATTTTTATAAATGATAATTATATAATGCCAATTAATAATTGAGTAATCAAAAACTTTTTCAATCTTCACTGGGATTAGAACCGCTTAAAATTTTCTTAATCGTTTAATGGTATTAAGGCGACTTGAAATTAAAACCTCGTTTAACGTTATTTTTTTTCGTATTTATAGAGGGG